GGTACTGGGATAGAAACAAAATGGTTGATCAAAGGAATCAAATAGAAGACCCAAATATAAACCCACACACCTACATCGGATACTTGACTTTTTACAAAGAAACCAAAACCATACAATGGAAAAAAGACAGCATCTTCAACAAATGGTTCTGGTCCAACTGGATGTCTACATGCAGAAAAATGAAAATAGATTTATATTATTCACCAGGCACAAAACTAAGGTCCAAGTGGATCAAAGACCACAACATAAAACCAGACACACTAAATCGGTTAGAAGAAAAGGTGGGGAAGAGCCTAGAACTTAATTGGCACAGGGGACAATTTTCTGAACAAAACACCAACAGGAAAAGTTCTACAATCAACAGTCAATAAATGGTACCACATGAAACTGAAAAGATTCTGTAAAGCAAAGGACACAAGCATCAATACAAAACGACTGCCTACAGACTGGGAAAGGATCCTCATCAACCCTCTATCTGACAAAGGGCTAGTATCCAGAATATATAAAGAACTCAAAAAGTTAAAAAGCAACAAATCAAGTAATCCAATTTTAAAAATGGGGTATAGAGCTAAATGGCAGAGAATCACTTAAGAAATGTTTAATGTCCTTAGTCATCAGGGAAATGCAAATCAAAATGATCCAGAGATTTCATCTTATACCCATCTGAATGGCTAAGATTAAAAAACTCAAGTGACAATACATGCTGCAGAGGATGTGGAAAAAAGAGAACCCTCCTCCATTGCTGGTGGGAATGTAAACTTGTAAAACCACTTTGGAAATCAGTCTGGCACTTTCTCAGACAATTAGGAATAGCGCTTCCTCAAGATCCAGCTATACCATTCCTAGGCATACATGCAATATATGTTCAAGTATACAACAAGGACATTTGATCAACCATGTTTCTAGCAGCTTTATTAATAATAGCCAGAACCTGGAAACACCCCATATGTCCCTCAATGGAAGAATGGATACAGAAATTGTGGTACATTAACACAATGGAATACTCCTCAGCAATTAAAAACATGGACATCATGAAATTTGCAGGCAAATGGTGAGACCTAGAAAAGATCATCCTGAGTGAGGTATCTCAGAAGCAGAAAGACACACACAGTATATACTGACTTGTAACTGGATATTATCCATGTAATATAGGATAAACATATGAAAATCTGTACACCTAAAGAAGCTAACCAAGAAGGAGGACCCTGGGTAGGATGATCAATCATCACTCAGAAAGACAATTGGGATGGACATTGGAAGAAGGAGAAAACAGGAAACAGGACAGGATCCTTCTGCAAAGGGCCTCTGAAAGACTCTACTCAGCAGGGTATCAAAGCAGATGTTGAGACTCATAATCAAAATTTGGCAGAGTGCAGGGAATCTTATTAAAGAATGGGGAGATTGTAAGACCTGGAGAGGACAGGAGCTCCACAAGTGAGCAACAAGACCAAAAAGTATGGGCCCAGTGGTCTTTTCTGAGACTGATACTCCAACCAAGGACCATTCATGGATTTAACCTATAACACCTGGTCAGATGTAGCCCATGGCAGCTCAGTCTCCAAGCTGGTTCACTAGTAAGTGGAACAGAGACTGTCTTTGACATGAACTCAGTGGCTGGCTCTTTGATCACCTCCCCCTGAGCGGAGCAGCCTTTTACAGTGGAGGACAACGCAGCCAGTCCTGAAGATACCTGATAAGCTAGGGTCAGATGGAAGGGGAGGAGGACCTCCCTTATCAGTGGACTTTGAGAGGGGTATGGGGGAAGATGAGGAAGGGAGGGTGAGATTGGGAGAGAATGAGGGAGGGTTTACAGCTGGGATACTAATTGAATAAACTGTAATTAATATAAAAAATAAAAATTTAATAAAATAAGAAAACCATCTGTAATTTTATGAGAATGTAAAAAATTTATAAAATTTTACTTTAGCTCAATGTCTTTGTTATCATCTTATTATAAGGGATGCATATTTACACAATAATACATACTAATTGTGTGCATATCAGTTTTAATGGAAAGCATAAACAACCTCTTTGTCCACCTGTATGAGATGATTTTATTAGTGTTGGCACGTGAACCCTTTCTTTCTACTGGGTTTCCTCATCTAACCTTACTACAAGAGAAGATTCCTAGTCTTACTGCAACTTGATATACCATGTCTGCTTGATTTCCATGGGAGTCTTGCCCTTTTCTGAAGAGAAGTGAAGGAGGAGTGAATGGGGGTTGTGAAAAAGGGGAGGTGGGGGTTAGGACTGGGAGGAGAGAAGGTAGAGGAAACTGGTATGGATTAGATAGATAGATAGATAGATAGATAGATAGATAGATAGATAGATAGATAGATAGATA